AAAAAAAAAAAAAAAGAAGAAGAAAGAACTCTGACAAGGAGTTGTAGAGGCAGCTTGGTAGTCTAAACACCTGCCTGGCAAGTGCAAGGACTCACGTTTGAGCCCAGTGCCATATGCTGTGCCAGCCCTGAAATTGGGTATAGTGGTATACACCTGTAACCCAGGATAAGGGAGGCTGAGCCAGGAGGATCACTACAAGTCTGAACTGTGTAACAAGACCCTGTATTTAAAAAAAAAGGGGGGGGGCTGGGGAGATAGCTCAGTGGAATAAGCACTTGCCTGGCAAGTGCAAGGGCCTGAGTTCAATCCCCGGTTCTGAAAAAAAAATAAATAAATAAAAAATAAAAAATAAAAAGGCTGATGAGATAGCTCAGTGGTTTTTTTTTTTTTTTTTTTTTTGCAGAACCAGGGATTGAACTCAGGCCCTTGTGCTTGCCAGGGAAGCACTTATTCCACCGAACTATCTTCCCGGCCCCATCAGTGGTCTTAAAGCAGGTGCTTAGGCAAGCACAGGGACTGTGGTTTGATCCCCAGCATCACATGCTGTGCCAGCCGTGCTCCATTTGACAAGGAAAAACATCTGTGATCTTCAACATATACGTAATTATCTTTTTTGTGGAATTAGGAATGGCAGGTTAGGCTTTTTTACCACTGAGCTACACCCTGAGTGCTTCTGAATTTTGGGACAGAGTTCTGCTAGGTCACTGTACTGCCCAGGCCAGGCTGAAACCTGCACTCCTCCTGCTTCAGCCTCCCCAAGAGCGGGGATCACAGGTGCGTGCCACCATGCTTGGCATTCAAATATTTTTTATCCTGTTTGACTGAACCTATGGTGCTTGATTCGGCAGCACATATACTAAAATTGACTGAACCTATGGACATGGGCAGCTGACAACACACGCAGTCTCGTATCCAGAAAGTTTTTTGAAGTTGAGAACACAGGTGAAGACCACCTGGCTTCCAGCCACCCGGTATTTGCTCACTTCGTGACCTTGAAAGACACCTGGAGCCCATTGTGTGTAAACAGGGAGTAAATATGCTTATTTGGCTCAGCTGCTGAGACAATTCCACAGACTGACACAGGGCAGGCCTCTTTTCTGCAAAAGGCTGGACAGCCACCAGCTCTGGCCTCCAGGCTATTTGGTCTCCGTCACAATGATACAATGCTGTGTAAAAAGCAAGCACAGACAAGCGCAGATGAATGTGTGTGGCTGGGTGCCAATAAAACTTCATTTCTGGGTACTGACATTTGAATTTCATGTATCTTGCACAAGTCAAGAGCAGTGTGCGGGGCCTGCCCCTTAGCTCAGCTCTTTAAGTGGCTGCTTCAAGAAAGCAGTCAGGCTCAGGTTGCTGTGGTTCGATCCCCACAACTCAAGCCAGCCAAACCTGCCCTGAAGGCATTCAGAGCAAAAAAAAAAAAGAGCAGTCTGGAAATGAGAGCTTCCCTGGCAAGAGCAAGGGTCTGAGTTCAATCCCCAGTTCCACCAGAAAAAACAAACAAAAAAAAAGCAGTCTGGGGCCGGGGACATGGCTCAGCAGAATAAGCACTTACCTGTCAAGTGCCTGAGTTCAATCTCCAGTTCCGCAAAAAAAGAAAAAGGGCTGGTGAGATGGCTCAGTGGTCTAAAGCACCTACTTAGAACAAGCTAAGCTAAGCAAAGCACAGGGACAGCGGTTCAATCCCCCAGCAGCCCCACCCCCCGGTGAGCTGAGCTGGACACACACACACACACACACACACACACACATAAATAAAAAAAAAAAAAAAAAAAAAAAAAAAAAAAAAAAAGCAGCTATCTCCCTGGCTCTTGATTCTTTCAATCACTCAAAAATGTAAAAACTGACAGAGGGTGCAGGATCCACAAAAATGTAAAAAAAAGTGTGTGTGTGTTTGTGTGTGCGGAGGCAGGAACTGAGGCCCTCCCGCATGCTAGGCAGCTTTCACCACTGAGCTGCACCCCAGCCCTGAGACCCACCTGCAAACGTCCAGAAAAGTTTGAGGCAACCTACACTCTTGCAGAAAAAGGTAAATCTCGCTTGTTTCCACAGTGACCTGGGGGATACATCTTCTTTGAAGGACTGAGCTTGTGCCCTTTTTGAATTCTCTCTCAAGGGATGTCAAAATCACATTAGTACTTCTGCTGGTAAGGCGGAGCCCAGGATACAGATGCGGATGAGGCAGCTGCAGTTGAGCAGGCCATAAGCTCCACAGAAGGCTGGCCCACCCTGCTGCCACCCTGGTCCTGGTTGTGTTCCCAGCTCCCTGTTCCCATCCTTACCTCATGGCCCGAAGCGCGAGGCGGTAGGCCAGATCGGGGTCATGGGGCAGCAGTGCGCTGAACAGGTAGCGGGCGCAGGTGTGCATGGGCACGCTCTCCCGGAACAGCACTTCGCCGAAACCGCTGAAGGGACCTCCTGTAGGCACAGTCTGAGCTCAGCACCTAGGAGTGTGGCCACTTCCTCCCAGCAAGTTTCCCCAGACCTCCAAGAGCCAGGGACAGGGGGCTAGGGCTGGGGCTCAAACAAGTGCTGGGTAATCCCAGAGGGGTTCCCTGGCACCCAGCGGTGGGGCAGGGACCTGCTGCAGCGTGGACTATAGAGCCAAGACCAGCTGGGTCCTACCAGGAGGGCTACAAGGGTCAATACCAAATGACTCCCGCAGCAATGCCAAGAGAAAGAGCAAACAAGCGAACAGCCTTAGATCGCAGACGGAGCCCGAGGCATGGTACCTATGCTGCCACCCCTTTTCAGAAGCAGCTAGCCTATTGGCTACAAACTGGGAAAAGGGCGGACCCTCACCATCCAGAGCAGTTATTGGCTGGCAAGTTCTGGGGGCGTGACTAATAACTTGCTCTGACTGGACTAAGGAGGCGGAGCTAAGAGGTTAGAACAGACGCGGAGCACAACAGCCACAGCAATTATTGGCTACTAGCACATGCTAGGGGCGGGACTGAGATGGCATTCTCCCGGGATAGACGATAAACTGCAGGGGGCGGGGCCTCACCTTCCAGCAGCAGCCCCGCCTGCCTGCGCAGCACCTGTACCAGCCTGTCATCCAAATCCACCTCCTCCAGCAGGGCCAGGAGCTGCTCCTCGTTTCGCACCACCTTGTCCTGGGCATACAGTCCCTCGGGCAAAGCCCGCTGCTGTCCCAGCCCCAGAAGCGTGACCTCTAGCGCCAGCGCTAGGTAGGACTCCCCTGGGTTCCCGGGCACCGGCACATGCTGGTAGACTGCCTTCCGTTTCTCGGTGCCTGAGTCTGAGGGAGACAGGACCAGGGCTACTGAACGGACACAACAGGAGCAGAGTGGTAGCTGGGGATACCCCAAATCTTGGTGCATGGGGCGTCCCCTAGCAGCAGCTTGGCCTAGGATGGCTTCATTTTCAGGAGAGACTCAAGTCACTGGCTCCTGTCCACGGGGTGTGGGGTCACCTAGAAGTACTGGCTCAAGGTATGACCTTCAAGGAGCACTGGGTCAGGGGTGGGTCCAACACAGCGGGAAGAGTCCTCCTCCTCCTCCAGGACTCCCAAAGTGGGTATTGTACCTGGATAAAGTGAGACAGTCTCTTCCTCCAGGCGACAGGCCTCTAGGAGTGCCCTGCAGAGGCAGCCGATGGGGTCCAGGGGGTGGCCCACCCAGCCTTCTGTGTTGGTGATGCAGGTGGCACCTTTCTGTAGCAGCTCTGGAGGTGAAAGGGGAGCTTAAATTCTACCTGTGCACAAGGGGGTGCATCCCCCTTCCTGACTGTTACCATCAGCAGCCCACCTAGAGGCCATGCTGCTGGATTAGGCCTGGTAGGACAGCAGGGGCTTTACACACACACACACTGTCCTAGTGTCATCTCCTCCTCTAGCTTTGGGACTGCCTGGCTGAAGTACAGCCCAGACAGCTTGCAGGGTCTCCAAGGACCAATCTTGGGTCTCTCAGCAGGATGGTCACCTGCTGTCTAGAACCCACCACTAGCCAAGTGCCCTGTCCTTTGGGGTTCCTGCCTGTGCTATTCCCTACATTCAGAACACCCTTCCTCCTCCCCTCCTTCTGAGGCACTCTCAGTGTGCCTGGTTAACCCCAGACTCGAGCTGCATCTGATGCAGGGTGCAACGTGACGTTGGATCAATAATTTATGGTTTTCCACTGGTAGCTAGAGACCTCCTTGGGACTGCAGTGTGGTGTGGTCAGCATTGTGATACAATTACTGCGCTTTTTCTTTTTGGTATCAGAATTGAACTCAGGACCTTGTGTTTGCCACATATGTGCTTGTGCCATTGAGCTATTCCCAGCTCCTAATCCCTGTGCTTTACAGTGGTTTCCATTTGTCTATTTTGTAGTACTGGGCTCAGAACCCAGAGCCAAGGGTTCTACTACTAAGTTATAATCATGTACAAAAATTCATCTAGTACTAGGATAGAACCCACAACCTTGCCACTGAGCTACAAGCTCATACATCCAGAGCACTTTTTTTTTTTTTTTTTTAGTAGAACCGGGAATTGAACTCAGGTCCTTACGCTTGCCAGGGAAGCTTCTGAGATGGAGTCTCACTGTCACTGAGTTGCCCAGGTTGGGCTTGAACTTGTGATCCTCCTGCCTGAGCCTCCCAGAGTACTGGGATGACAGGCATACACCACTATACTCAGAAGCCCCCCTTTTAACAGGGTCTCAGTATACTGGCTGGCCTTGTACTTGGAATCAGATTAGAGGCATGTGTCACTGGACTCAGCTCACTCCCTCGGTGCTTGGACCTGAAGCCTCCGCCCTTACAATGGGTCCAGTTCTCAATTCCTGTATTAAATTCCTTTCTTTGCAAGATACCTTGGTGGCTGTTTTCCTGATGGGAGCCTCCATTTGTCCCTGCACCCTGGAGACAGAGAGGATAAGTGCCCACCTTTTTTCTGCTGCTTGTAGATCTCAAGCTGGTGCCGCTGCTGCAGCCGGAGGGTGTTTATGATGGCGCCTGCCAGCCGCAGTGCCTTATGGGGGTACCCATGGGCACGCAGGGTGTCCACCCGCGCACAGGCGGTGGGGAAGGGTTCACCCAGCCAGAGCGGGCGGCCCTGAGGGTCAAAGTCCGGCTTGTCACCTCCGGTGCTGCCTGTGAAGCTAGGGCTGGGGCAGTCGCTGGCCAGGATCCTCTGGAGGTGGGCATTCTTCCAGTGCATTGCCCCAGCCCGCAAGGCTCGACCAAACACTGTGTGATGGGAACGGGGCGCTGTTACCTCTGTCTCTCCTTGCCGGGGATCTGTAGGAGAGGAACCTAAGGTGGGCACCTAGCTGTGGCCAGCATCCCCTAGCCAGCTCCAATTCAGTTAGACCCTGGCAGAGCCATGGGCACTATGCACCTCCCAGTCCTCCAGGTAGCCCTCAGGGATGCAGGTGGTGCTCCCAAACCATACACAGAAGAAAAACAAGTGAAAAGGTGTGTGTCTGTCCTCACTCCTCTACTTTCTTGTCAGTCTCTCACGTATCTACTCCTTCACCTGCTCTATTCTCTTTCTGCCTTCACAGCCAAGAGGAAACAGAGCCAGAAGAGCAGCCTCCTATTAACTGCACCTCACTGTCCTTCAGGCTGCCACTACTCTTGCCATAAGCGCTTACTCCTTCTTGGTTTGAAGGATCACCAATGGCCAGGCCCTCATTCTTCCCTCTCCCATTCCTTCTCTTTCTATGGACAGACTGCCGTGATGGCAAGCTGGGACAGTCAGTAGGGATGGTCCTGTTGGGGAGAAGTGGCAGGGCCTTTCTTACCTGGGCTGGGAGCTGCCACGGGCTGGAGACTGGGGCCATCAAAGGAGTAGTTGCCCTCTTCCAGTGGACACATGTCCAGCTTGTCCCATGTGCCCAGTAGCTGGAGCCAGCCTGCCCGCTCCTCTGGTTTACAGTGGGGGCTCAGAATGACGCAGACCCACAGGGCCCCTGCAGGCACAGGGGAGGTCAGGACGGGGCCAACGGCAGCAACACACACTGCACAGCACCTCCTATATACTTCCAATGCACTGCTGGGTCCTAATACAGGCCCTCTGAGGTCATGACTGATACACTCTTCACTAGATAAGGAAACCAAGGGGCATAGAGAAAGCAACTGTCCAAGGCCCTTCTGCTTTTATGTTAAGATTTGGGGGGCAGGCGTGGTGACGTGTGCCTGCCATCCCAGCACTTGGGAGTCTGAGGCAGAAGTGAAATTTTGAGCCCAGCATGGACAATTTATCAAAATAAATAAATAAAAACTCAGTGCAAAGATCGTGTGCTTCATCCCCCACAGCTACAAAAATAATGAATATGAAAGCCAGGCACAAATAATCAAAACAAAAACAAACTGCATGTGAAAAACAAAAAGGAAACCTATAATGCCAGGTACTGGAGAGACTGCGGGAGGAGGATTGCAAGCTGCTACCTAGCTTGGGATATTTAGCAAGACCTTATGTTCAGATGAAGAACCAATAGCTGGGGAGGGGCACAGCTCAATGCCAGCGCACTTATGGATTCCATCTCCAGGGCCAGAGAAGAATGCCCTGGGTTCTGTGCAAACACGTCAGTACTGCAGCGTTCACAGCGTCCTGTTCCTGGATCTACTGTGCATTCCAGGCTGGCCCTAAACTCACTATGTAGCCCAGGCTGAAACTCCTGGCGATCCTCCTGCCTCAGCCTCTGGAGGGCTAGCTTGACAGGCATGTGTCACCACGCCTTGCCCAGTGGATAGTAGTTCATCATGTATTTTCTCTACATCCGTGGGTCCCCAGGTCAGGACCTTGTTGCCCATGTGACAAGGTTCAGAAGCATCCCCAAATCAGTTGCTTGAATCAAGGGACGGATCCTCATAGCAGGGGTGGTACTCAGCTGGGCTGGAGCCCTGAATCCCCCAGGGCAAGCCTTACCCAGCTCATCCCACAGCTGCCGGCACTTGTCCGTCATGCCGGCGCCCTGCTGCCTCCACAGCGCCAGGCGTGGGTCCTGCAGGAACTGCTGAGTCATGAGGATGAGCATGCGCGCTCCATTGGAGTCCCGCATGCGCAGCATCTCCCGCACCTATGTGGGAGTGGGGCAGGGTGGAGGGAGGGTGTGAAAAGGGGCGGGGTCCAGGCCAGGGAGCACCACCCCCATCTTCCCCACCGCACCTTGCTGAACATGGAGCGCAGCTGCTGGCTGGCCCCGTAGTAGCCGCCATTGGACAGCAACTGCTTCACCTGCTCCTGGATCTGCTCCTCGTCCAGGTGCCAGCAGTTGGCGTCCTCAATGCTCGCACCTGCTGTGGGGTCTGGGGCACCTGGCAAATGAAAAGGGAGAAACTCAGGTCAAGAAGGGGCTGGGGTTGAGAGCGCAGGCGTCTGCCTAGCCTGTCTGTCATTCCTGCACATCATACCACAGTTCCATCTATTCTGGCAAACAACAGCCATCCATCTGCTTATCCACCCCACCTCCATCCATCCATCCGTCCGTCTGTCCATCCGTCCACCCTTACTTCATCCATTCTCCCCAACCACCCATCTATCCACCTACCCCCATCCACCTGCCCACCCATCACCTCTTCTATTACCTCCTTCATTGTCCCCCATTCTTCAGATTCCATCAGCCCATCCATGCATTCATCTATCTATGCAGCCACCATCCATCCACCTGTCCCCCTATCTATTATCCAATGTCACATTTATTCACCCACCATGCACACAGGATGCCCCAAATACCACCAGCTCCCTTATCCATTCCTCAGCTCCTCCCTTTAACCAGCCACCCAGTGTTCACCTATGGAATGCTACACATCAGTCCACCCACGGACGGACCCCGCCTCCCTCTCCACCCTGCCCATCTGAGCCAGAACATGCTCCCCATGCCCTCACCATGTGGGTGTCTGTGCACTCATTGCCCCATCAGCTCTCGGTACCTTCATACTCTGCACATACCTACTACCCTATTAGCCCACCACATACCCAACATCCACACACACATCCCAGTACTACATCCACCCGCTCTTCCATTTCTCTTTCCAATGCATGTAGGTTACTCAAAACGCCCACCACCCCAGAAGCCTATCCCCATGACTTGGCCATCCACCAGCCCACCCCACTCCTGGGAGCCTTGGAGGCGCCACTCACTCCTGCATCCCCACTCTGTATGTATCAGCTCTTCCATCGTTTCCCCAGCCTCGCCGGTCCAGCCCCATCTGTGTACCTCAGAGCCCCAATCAAAGTCCTCCTACCCCTGCCCACCCCTGCTTCTAGTCACCAGGACCTCCGTTCCACCTACTGTCCTACTCACACATCCACATGCCCTCCACTTTTCCATACTGCCAGTCATCCCAGCGCCTGACCACGGACTTCTGCACCCCCTCCAACTCCTGCTCCACGGTCCATGGGGGCTTCCACACACTGCTCCTCCATCCACCTGTTCCCCCTCCACTCCAGCTCCTCAGGACTGTCAGCTCTCCAGTCCTCACAGTGCCTCTGAATACCTCACTCAGGACATCTGCCCTGCCTTCCACCTGTCCATGTGCAGCCATAACTCCTGCCTCTGCCCCTGCCTGTTGCCCAACCCCTCCACCCTTGCCCAGTGCTGTAGATCAAATCCAGGGTTTTGCACATGTTCATCAAGTGCTGTACCACTGAGCTCCCTCCCCAGACCTTTCTACTTTTTATTACTTTAAAAATTGTGACAGAAGGTCTCATTAAGTTGTCCAGATCTGGTTCGAATTTGAGGTCTTTCTGTCTCAGCCTCCTGAAGTACGAGGGGTAGGATTAGATGTGTGCACCACAGTGCCCAACCCTGTTGCCTGGCTTCTGGTCACTCATTTGCCCCAGGATCAAAGTACACCCGGGATGGGGATGTGCCACCCACAAGGTCTGTGTGCATATTTGGGGCACTGAGGATGCCCTAAGTGCCTGACACCCACAGGACGTGAGGAGGCCGCGGCCCCAGGTGCCCTTTACCATGCACCAGGTTGATCTCAGAGCCGAGCAGCAGGACCTCGTCAGCCAGGCGCTGGGCGGTGGGGAGCACCTCGGTGTGGTGGGCACTAATGAGGTACTGCACAAACTTCTGCAGCTGCTCACGGTTCATCTGGGACAGCGTCTCTGAGATGGGCAGCTTCAGCTCCACCTGGCGGGCATGGCGGATGCGGTACAGCGACAGGGCCACTACGTGTGCACAGTAGAAGAGATCCCGGTTGTCGCAGCCGCAGCTCACAGACGTGATCTTGCAGCGGTCGAAGCTGATGGACACGTGGTAGCTGTGCTCCGGCTCCCCGGGACTGCCCGGCTCCCGCACATTCCCGCTCAGATGGAACCCTATGACCAGCAACAAACTGTCACCCCAGAGACACGCAGCATTTATTCATCATGTCCAGTGACACCCAGATGCAGAGCACAGCTGAACAACCAACAGAAACCAGGACATCCTTCTCATCTAATTGCAATAAAAGCAAGACAATCAACCAGGCATAGGTTGTACACACCTGTCTTGTCACAGCTGCGGGAAGCCGAGGCAGGAGGGTCATAAGTTTGAGCAATTTAGCAAGACCCTGTTTCAAACTAAAAAGTTAAAAGGGCTGAGAATGTAGCTAAGTATGAAGGATTTGGGTTTAAGGCCCCAGTACCAGAACAAAGAATGAGTTAATATATGACAAATGATTGGAACTCTGGCATAAGCGTAGGTCTTGAACAAATCCTTGTTCTTTCTCTGATGATCAAAGTATTACTGCTCTATGATGTTAGAGATGGGGTCTTTCAGCCCTTGGGTTACCATGGACACAGCCAGGGATGACAGGAGCCCTGCACTTCCTGGGAAGATGAGGGGCCTGTGACATACCACCTTTTGGGCTGACAAGGAGAGAGGGGCAGATCACTCTGTACCCCCTGCCCCTCCCTGGCCCCTGGGCAGGCAGGTGACTGCCAGGCTCATCTGACTGGTTGGGCAGCTAAGGCCCAACCCGCGTCATGTAGAGAGGGCTTCCTCATACCAGGGTGGCCAGGAGCCTGCAGCTCGCTGGAACATGGCCAGGCACAGGGGCTCGAAGTTCACCGGGCCCGTGGAGGTAACTGGCTGGGCCCCGGCTCCCAGCCATGGTTTCACTAAGTTGTCAAGGCTGGGTTCGAGCTTGTGGGCCTCCCGCCTCAGCCTCCCAGAGTACTGGGATGACAGGTGTGTGTCACGCACCCAGCTTTCCTAGTCCTCTGTAAAATTCATAACAGATCTCTGCGGACTGCAGCCACAGCTCTCTGCGCATGTCACCCTAAAGCCCTGATCCTGGCATCTCAGACTTGTTCTCACCTCCGCCTCTACAATTCGTGTCCAGTCCCCCACCGCACCCCACTGCCTGGGTGCAGTTACTGAGCCCCTGCTCCTCATTGCCCTAGTTCTTCCCTCACTCCTAGCTCAGGGCTGGAGTCTACTGTTCGCCTCAGCTCGTGACCCTGCACCCAAGCCCAGAGGGACTCAAGCCTGAGATCTGGCACCCTCAGTGCCATGTCTCAAGCTCCATCCCCAAGGCCCTTTGTGGCATCTGCCTGGGATTCAGTATCACCCTCACTTCTGCCCTAACCCTTGCCTGAGCCCACGCCGCCCCTAGTGCAGGGGCTGCCCTGTTTCCCTTCTGGTCCACCGGCTTTCCCTCCACATCCCCATCTAAGCATGTGCCTGAGGTCCAGGATGAACCTGACTCTAGTAGAGTAAGATCTCATACAAGCTGCTGCGGTGGTGCACATCTGTCATCCCTGCTGGGAGGCTGAGGCAGGAGGATCACCTTGAATTCAAAGCCAGTAGGCTACATTGAGAGTTCTAGGCCAGCCTGAAATTCATAGTGAGTTTCTGACTCCACAAAACAAAACAATCAAGTTGGAACCCAGCCTGGGAAGTTAGGTAAATCGATTTAGTGAGACCCTGTCTCAAAATTTAAAACAATGAAAAAGGGCTGTGAATATAGCTCAGTGCAAGATTCTGGGCTCAATTCCCACTACCACAAAACAAGAAACAGCTACAGCAGTACCTTAGACACGCTTTTCCCAGCCTCAGAGCCTGTGGGCTGGATGCTCCTGCCCAGCCCAGCCACCTCGCGCGAAAGTGCCACTCACCCACTTGGAGGACACGGTCGACGGAGCTGCTCTGCAGCAGGTGCAGCCCCCGGGTGAAGGGCACCCGGGCGTCCTGCTCACCCTCTGCAGGCTGGTACCCCAGGGACGAGTACATGCATATCTCCCTCTCACTTCGTGGAAACGACCAGAACATGATCCGCTTCTGCACAGGCTCTGGCACCCGGGAGAACCGCTCCTCGACCTGCAGAGGGTCAGTGTGTCCCACTCAAGCTAGGGTCCTGCTATGCTGTTTACACACAGTATGACCTAGGGCATGTTATTCAGCCTTTCCTGAACCTCAGCTGCCTCGAGTACGAGGTGGGGACGAACTTTAACCACCTCCTAGGATTCAGTACGCATCAACGAGCCCAGCACTGTGAGGCACGCGTCCAGCTACTTGGGAGGCTGAAGCAGGAGGCTTGGAAGTTTAGGGCCAGCCTGGGACAAGTTAGTGAGACCTCCTTCCTACCCCCCCAAAATATACAGCATTAACGTGGGTACAGCACTTACAGTAATACCGGGCCCATACTACCCTAGATCCTACTACTGATTTCCTTCTGGATGCCAGGAGCGTTAGCAGACTTCAGGTGTAAGATCCTCCCACCTCCCAGACCTGGGGGGGATGGGAAGAAGTTGGATAAAAGTGACTGGGTTGAGGAGCTCTGGGTTCATGCCCCAACACAAGAGAAAAGAAAGAAAAGAAAGATGTGGTGGTCCCAGCACAAGGGAGACTGAGGCATGAGGACTGCTGGGAGTTCAAAGCCAGCCTGAGCTATATAGTCAGACCCTCTCTCAAAACAAACAAAAAAGAAGAGAAAAAGAAAGTGATTGCACACAATTCTTACGCCAGCCTAACAGTATGATACTTCTATCATTACCCTGATTTACAGCCTGGCAGGGGAGGTGCAGAGCTTCCATAAATGAGTCTGTTCAGAACCCCAAGGCTGGAGAGCTCCCACTCCAGGACAGGCTCTCCCGGCAGTTCCGGCCCACCTCCCTGGGCTCCCCTCCTTGGGCTCTGCACACCAAAGTTAACTCCACTGGGCCTGCACTCCAATTTGAGTTTGCTGTTCCACTGGCTGGTGACCTTGGGCAAGTTTCTCAACCTCTCTGTGTCCCAGTTTCCCTCAAAGCCAGGTGAACAACTAACTCCCAGAGGGTTACAGAAGAGCAGAGGAGTTTCCTGAGCTTCCGGCCCAGCCAGGCCAGGTCCCTGCAGGTCGCACACACGAGGAAGGGTGGAGGCCTTCCTGAGCCCCCTCCTCCCTAGGTTTCTGGGGGAAGTGGGGCAGCTGGTGACTGGCCCGGTGACAGTTGGCAGATGACTAAGGAGGGATTTTCCAGGCCATGAATCAGAGGCGGTTCCATCTACCTCAACACAAACCCATCAGTCCTAACTTGTGAGCCCCCAAATTCTCCCTGAAGTTGGGTAGCCCATGACCCTGTGGGGGAAGCGCGGACTTGAGAGTCCTGGCCTTTCTGAAGCTGGGGTTAGGGGCCCCCTGGCACAGCTTCCAGAAGCATCCCCAGAGGTTGGTTCGGGGTGCACCTGTCAGACACCACTCTGATTTCCAACTTCCTCCTGGAAGGACTAGGATGGGGGAGAAGAAAAGGGTGGGAGATTGGGGAAGGGTCCCCAAGGGACAGGTGCGTGCTGGAGCTGGAGGGGGAACAGGAAGGCAGAAGGGGTGTCCCGTGCTAGTGGGATAGGAAGAGATGGTGAGTCCTTTGCCTGGGGTGTAGGGTAGCGATGTGAGGGGCGAAAGCGGGTCACTGTGGGTGTCTGGAAGCTCAGGCCAGGGGACGCGGGGTGTCCTGGGCGAGGACTGCTTGCAGGAGTTGGGGAGTCGATAAGGTGAAAGTGGGTGCCCTTGTGAGGGTGAGGCTGGATGGCGAGGGACAAGGGGCTGGGGTTGCAAGTTGAGGGGAATTCGACGGCGATGGCATCTCTGGGGCCCGGTGGTCAGATGAGCCGGTTTGCACGGGGCCGGCAATGGGATCCCCCTGTCCGACCCGCCCGGCCCTCACGTCACCTGCTCGAAGGCCCAGCTCTCCGCCACCCTCTTGGCGCTGAGGTCCAGCAGTGTCTCGGGCCGGCCCCGCCCGGCCCCGGCGTCGCACCGCTCGGGTCCCCCGGGGCAACCCCGGCTCCGCTTGGCCGAGAGGGGCTCCATGTCCGGGTTGGGGCCGGGCGGGCCTGCCGATGTCCGCCGAGCTCCTCTGGCTCTGCACCCCTGGCCCACCTTGCCGTGGTCCTATACACTCCGCAGCCGAGGACCTCCGCCGCACCCACCACCGCCCCGCGCCGGGCCGGCCGGGGGAGCGGCCCCTTTAAGAGTCTTCACAACAATGAAGCAGCCTCCGCCGCCGCTTTCTGCTTCGCAGTCGTTCCGCCCCCCGCGCCCGTCCCTATTGGACCCCCCCTTTGGCCTCTGCGATCCTTTCCCTCCATTGGCTGCGCCTCCAGACCAGTAGCCCAGATGTCTGGGCTCATTAGAGAACTGCGATGCCAGTGTTTTCGTGTTTGCCCAATCACGGAGCGCAGAGGGAGGTGCTGTCAATCATGGAGCGCCAGAGGCCAATCGGTGCGGGAGGACCCCTGCGGCTCGCCCGTGCGGAGTTTCGGGGCGGGCCCTGCGTTCATTCACAACATTCCTCCCCCGCCTCCCCGGAGCAGACTGCTAGCCCAGGGCAGCTGGGGCTGCGCCCACACACGGCTTTGTTTACCTAGGGTAGCTTCCGGGCGCCGGGAGGACCGTCGGCTTTGCAGTCTGGAGGGGGGCGGCACCTCGCCTTCCACCTGCGGCTGTGCGATCCGAGAAGCGTGCCCAGCGTCTTTGGGCCCCGGGTTGAATTTGAGGCTTGGAAACTCAGACAGTAGATACAAAGTTCTGGTGGGATCTGGGAGCAGCAGATTTCGGCCCAGACACCGAGCACGGGACAGGGTCCATTTAGGACCCCATATTTTCTGTGTCCCAAGTACATTGGTTCATGGTATTTGAAAAGTTTGTTTGGTTTGGGGCTAAGTAGTTCAGGCAGGCTTGGACTCAACAGTGATTCCTCGTGCCTCAGCCTCCCTAGTGCTGGGGTGACTGGTATGAGCCTTCATGCCTGGAAAATTTTCTAGTTTTCGATCCCCTCTACCTAGTAGAATGAACAGTTTCACATCTTGCCCCTTGCGATCATTATTCTCACCCAAGCTTGTCCAGGCTCTGGCCCGGAAGCTGGCCACGGTCTTCGTCACCACCTCCCCCACCCCGTGGTCTCCCCGTGCATGATCTCCCCTTGAGTTGTCTTCCTCACCCTCCATCCACACAGGGACAGCACCCTCACGCAGCAGCTCAGTCTGGAGCCTGTGGAAAGGCTGAGGTAGGTTATGGCTCAGCTGATGTCTCATGCCTGCACTTCTGGGCCAGTCCTCAACCCACCACCCTTCAGACTTGCGTGGCCACCGGTGGGCCTTGAATGGGCTGTGCGGGCTGGAAAACTGCAGGCTACATTTCATATGCTTAAAAAAGTGGCCACAAAATATGTCATTAAGATTTTTCAGTGGTGGGCCAGGGGAATAGCTCGGTGGTCTAAGCACCTGCCTGGCAAGCATAAGGACTAGGGTTCGATTCCTGGTATCATATGCTGTGCCAGCCCCTCGCTTTGCCAGCCACCAAAAACTGAGTGTGGTGGTAATCCTAGCACTCAGGAGAGGCAGGAGGATCCTAGCAAATTAGAGACCAGCCTGGGCTACAAAGTGAGCTCAATGGTAGCCTGAACTGCATAGTGAGACCCTATCTCAAAAAGACAATAAATAAAAAAATAAGAAAAATATTCATGGGGCTGGTGAGATGGCTCAGTGGTCTAAAAGCACCTACTTAGAACAAGCTAAGCTAAGCAAAAGCACAGCGACCACGGTTCAATCCCCAGCACCACATGCCAGCCAGCCCCGCCCCCTGGTGGGCTGAGCTGGCCACACACACACACACACACACACACACACACAAAATAAATAAATAAAAGAAAAATATTCATGATATCAGCATGCCCATCATCCAGCACTCAGGAGGCTGAGGCAGGAGGATGGCTGTGGATGATGCCAGCCTGGGTTATATAGCAAATTTAAGACCCTATCTCACAAAACCAAATAAAAAAAGAATTTTAAATTCTGATTACATGTCAAAATGATACGTGGTTTCAATAAAATATATGATTGAAATTAGTTCTGCTTTGTTCTGTGGCCTGGGGACATTTGCAGTGATAGATGCCACTCCTTGTGTATTTCCGCTGGGCTTTCCTGGCATGGAGCCTGCCCCAGTGTCAGCATCGGAATTGGAAATGATCGCAGAAAGGTGAAAGCTGCTGAAGTGGCTGGGCTGTGTGGATGTGTATTAAGGTTAAGCCTTTTGCAGAGCTGCTAAGTGGAGAGTCATCTCCATTTTTCAGATAAGGAAATTAAGGCTTGCCTAAGGCCTCCCAGCTGGAAGAGCCAGCCTGCTGGAAGCCAGCTGGTGCCAATCTGGACGCATGTTTATTGGAACCTATTTTGGTGTTTTTTTTTTTTTTTTTTTTTTTTTTTTTCCTTTGGTGGTACAGGGGATTGAACTCAGGACCCTGAGCTTGTCAGGCAAGTGCCTATTCTACTGAGCTATCTCCCCAGTCCTTGGTTGTTGAGACAGGGCCTTGCTAGGTATACAGCCCATGGCCTCAAACTATTTGTTCTTTCTTCTCTTTTTGTGGCCAGCCCAGCCCACTCTGGGGGCAGGGCTGGCATGGCATGTGGAGCCAGGGACTTGAACCTTGCCTAAGCTTGCCTAACCAGGCTCTTTAGACTACTGAGCTATCTCCCTGGCCTGATCCCGATTTCCTAGGTGAGGTAAATAAGGCCCAGAAAGGGACTGAAAGCTGCCCACAGCCATACTGCAGTTCTGGGACAACACGGTAGGTCAGAAAGGGCCCTACAAATGTTCACAGGATGATTCTTTTTTTTTTTTTTTTTTGCAGAACCAGGGATTGAACTCAGACCGTTGCGCTTGCCAGGGAAGTGCTTATTCTACTGAGCCATCTCCCCGGCCTCATGTCCACAGGATGGAGTCCGTGCTGCCTTCCTAACATCCTCCCTTCTTGCCAGAGCTCTCGCTCCTTTGGGGAAATGGAAGCCACATTTATCCTGAGGCCGCTGTGAGCTCACTGTCTAGGCATTTGTAGCTGCTGAGCCCAGCCCCAAGTGTCCTTGCTCGACCTGTGGGGAAGGCAGGCAGCCCTGGAGGCCCAGCTGTGGGAGGAGACACAGCCCCCCAGCTCGGGGGATGTCCCTGCCCCTTTTCCCTGTGCCAGCCCCTGCAGCTCCCCACTGAGCTGAGCCAACTCCCAGTCAAGCCAGCCGGGTTAGTTTCCTGGCTTCCTTGTCTGCCACAACCCCTCTGGGTGGCCGACTGAGCTTCTTAGGTTTCTCTTCTTCCTTTTAAGAGAAACACAAATTCATCAGCAAAGGTCAGGGCCTTGCTGGGAAGAGCGGACATTCACGATTGGGAAAAGGCTGGGTAAGGAGGGAGAAGGTTGGGCTGGAAAAGGCCTGGCTCTGGGGGAGGACGACAGGTGCTAGATTAGGATCCTGTTCCCATGCCCAGCACCCAGGTGTCCTCGTGGTCACCCTGAGTCCCAAATCTTTCCCCTTTGGGGGTATTAAATAGGGGCATCAGGATCCCCTTTTAACAGAGAGGAGTTCAGAGATGTGAAGTGACTTGTGGAGGGCCAAAAAGCCCGAAGTGTAGATCAGGCCTCTCTGCTGCAGGGCTAAGGGGTGTCTTGTGGGCTGAGTGGAGTCCCCCAGCGAAATGAAGGGATAAAGGAGGGGCTGTTTGGGGAACCCCAAGGTTGGGTCTCGTGGGTCAACGTTACAGCCCCCATGCCAGGGGCCAGCTGGTGACAGGTACAAAAGGAGCCAATTTTCAGGGTTCCTGGGTCGCTGGATGACGCCAGCCTGTGGGAGGCCTGGGCAGGTCTTAGACACCCCCTAGTGGCCGAAGTGGTGCTGGAGGACACCAGGGTCTAGCATGGTGCAGCCCTGCCTTTTGGATTCTGGACAGACAGGTTAAAGAGATTTTTCAAAAAAGAGTGACTCTCATAAACATCTGAAGATGGACATGTCTTAAAATGTTTTATTTAACTTACATAGTAGGAACCAGGCTGATGCTGTAAGGGTTCAAAGGGTCTGAAAGCCGGGCTTGGTGGCACATGCCTGTCATCGCAGCACTCTGAGCCTGGGCAATTTAGTCATTTAGCAGGGAGACTCCACTATCTCACAATAAAAAAAAAAAAAAGAAAGAAAAAAAAAGGGCTGGCCAGGATGTAGGTATTTGAATCTTTGGATTTGATCCCAAGGTCTGAAAAAGACACTGTCACAAATAAAAGATATTCGAGATAACATGCCAAGGGACACCAGTGGGCTCCCCCGGGGGGCGCAGGGCTGGCGGCTGAACCTGACTGAAACTTCTGGTGATGGCAAGGATTGGAAACCAGCAGGGCTGTAGAACAGCTCAAAGACTAGATAGGATTCAGGCAGCAGCAAGAGTGTTTTGTTTCTAGGTAGCACGCTGAAGGATCATCCACTCCTCTTGCACTGAGAAAGCTTCCTTCTTTGGTGTCCCCCACCCCACCTTCCTGCAACACGTGTCCATCCAGCACCTGCTGTGCTCTGGTCCTTGGGAAGCAAAGCAGAAAACAGGGCAGGGTGACTTCAGATCTGAAGATCAGTCAGCTGTGAGCTCTGGTCTCTCTCTGGAGGCTGAGGCAGGAAGGTTACTTGAGGCCAATCTGGACAACAAAGTGAGACACCTCCCCACAGAGAATCAAAGCACTTGCCTCGCTCTGCAAACACCCGGATCACAGAGGTCCCTTTCAGGGGCACAGGGCCGGGTGCAGCGGCAGGGAAAGCTGCTCCTGGTAGATGACCTCCAGGAAGGGCAGTCGTGGAGCTGCAGATGAAAAGCGGGCAGGGTGCGCTAAGCAGGGCGGAGGAGGTGGCCTTTAGAGGACACAGGCTTGTCCCTGTCTTCTCAGTGACCAGAGGCTGGCACAGGTGGCCACAGATCCATGCTAAGTGGGCAAAGAAGTGGGTCTCCCAGGGTGGGTGACACCCTAGCCTGAGGGGCAGAGTCCCTGGGGGCTGCTCAGGGGCATGGGTGGAGGTTCTGTCCTCTCCCAGCCTAGCATCTGGAGCTCCTGCTCCTAAATCCCTGCATCCTGAGGGGCAGGGAGCCCCAGCCTGCACAGCCTGTCCACCAGTGCCCTGTTTATCAGGTAAGTCAGGACTTTGAGGGTGAAATTTCATTTCTCTTTTAGTAAAAATTCACGTAATACAAATTTCATCCTGGTGTGCAGTACAGGATCGGTCAGCACCAGGCTATGCACCGACCAGGCTGGTTCCTCGTTTTCATCACCCTAAGATACCCCCGTTAGCATCACCCCCACCTCCCGCCCAGCTCACAGCTGCTCTGGACACTTTATTATTCAGTTACACACTATGCAGTATTTGTGTCCCACTGCATGGATGCGTCATTATCTTTTAAAAAAAAAAATTTTTTTTAAAAAATTTATTTATTTATGTGTGTGTGTGTGTGTGTGTGTGTGTGGCCAGCTCAACCCACCAGGGGGTGGGGCTGGCTGGCATGTGGTGCTGGGGGGATTGAACCGCGGTCCCTGTGATTTGCTCAGCTTGTTCTAAGTAGGTGCTTTAGACCACTGAGCCATCTCACCAGCCCCCCCCCCTTTTTTTTGTCATCATCTTTTGAAGGCTCATTCATGGTGCAGCCTGCTGTTTACAGAGTAACATTCCACTGTGTGGATGGAGCATGTTTTGTTCACCTGTCCCTTTGCTGACAAAAAGGCAGGTTATGTTCTCCTTTCAAAAGTGGTTGTGAATAATCTTGCTCGGCACTAGCTTGCACCAGTGCAGCGAGACATCTGTAATGCCAGCTGTTTGGGAGGCTGAGGCAGAAGGATCATTTTTTTTTTTTTTTTTTTTTTTGCAGAACCACGGATTGAACTCTGATCCTTTTATTCTACTGAGCCACCTCTCTGGCCCCAGAAGGATATTTTGAGACAGGTGTGGGCAATTTAGTGAGACTGCACCTAAAAATGAAGACAATGCAATGAGGTGTGGCTCCACACTAACAGCTCCTCTGAGTTCAACCCCCAGCACTGCAAAACAAAACACACTGGAGCACTGCCTTCCCTTTATCTGAACCTTGGATGGAACTGCTGGGTCTCAGGGCAGTCAGCTCCGCTTCCCAATGGTGAGAGGAGATAGGACTGAGAGGGAAGCTTTACTCAGCACATGCTGCCGTGGTTCCAGCGAAGGCGATGGGGAAATGCCTGCCCAAGCAGAGCTGTCCTCACAGCTGGCAGGCAGCGTCCCCGGGTGCCATCCTGAAGACCTAAGGCTAGGCCACGCCTGCCTTACAGCAGCACTGCCCAGGACCAAGCCTCTGACTCCCTTGCATTCAGATTCTGCTTCTGAGTGCTGGGGCTGGAGCCAGGGCCTGCTCACTTTAGGCAGGTGCTCAGCACGAAGCAGTACCTGGACTTGGCGCGCAGCAATCAGTGCTGAGCTGAGGAGCAGCTAGTGTTATCTACGCTGAAAAATCACAGCTGGCGGCAGCCTTTTGGGGGTGAGCACTGTTGCCACACTCCTCCCATCTCAGTGCTCTGGAAGTCTGAGGCAGGAGGACTGCAGTTCAAGCCCAGCCTGGGGTATTTGGTGACTTAAAGAGAGCCTGGGCTCTTTCCTCAGCACCAGAAAAATACCCAAACAAGGGACCTGGGGGCTGTGGCTGAAGGCTGAGCACCTGCCTCCTGAGTGGGGGAATGCCTAGGAAATGTGCAGCCACCAGGAAACTAATCACCTACCTGCAGAGGTGCACCCAAACCCTGCAGATAAAGAGCTGGGAAGAAAAACAGGTCACTAGGACACAGTCCTGCAAAATACCAGAGGCCCTGTCCAATCCAGCAGACCCAGCACCAACACAGGGCTTGGGATCCCCTGGAGGGACAGGGACAGTTGTGACCTAGGGTACAGTGGTAGCGGGTGGCCAGCTGACAGCAGGACCAAGAATCACCAGCAGCAGGTCCAAGTCCTGGCTCTCAAATGTCAACAATGGGTTTGACCCCAGGAACCTGCCTGAGGAAGGGAGAAAGCAGGGTGTTCGGGATGACAGCATGGAGACCCCTGAGGTGATGCCTCACTTACAGATGTGTGCCTCTTCCCTGCTGCACCCCACCAGAGGGATCACCTGGCCCCCACTGACCTGTTCACAGAATCACAGGATGACACAGGATGGCAAAGCCATGTTTATTGTCTGGGTTAAACCAGTGGAGACAGGAGTGGCGACGGGAGAATGCGGATACACCCTCCCCCTCATGCCCACAGCAGCTAAGCCTGCAGCTGCTCCTAGGCTCTGGGAGCCACCAGTGGTGGCTGATGAGTCCCTTGCCTGAGGTGCAGCCTGTGAATTCATGTCTTGCGGGAGGCAGTGGTCCCCTTCTTCTTGAGCGGGGCCTTCAGCAGTGCCAGCTTCTTGGGCAGGTTGGAGCTGGCTTTCATCACCACCTCGTGCTCAATCTTCTTTCGAATCCCCATCTCCAGGTCCTGTGGGAGGACCCCAGCGCATGAGACTGGGATGAAGGGTTGGGAAGGCTCTGGCAGCTGACCTGACTGCCAGGAGCTCATAGGAGGCAGTGGCAGTAAGTGTCCCTTTGCACGAGGGCCAGGAGGATGGGGACTGAAGCCTTGACCTACGTTTTTTTTAATCTTGTACCAGGGATCAAACTTGAGACCTTGCACTTGCCAGGCAGGCACTTATGCCATTATCTCCCCTGCCCCTGAACCTGCACTCTCAATACACACTACCAACCTTTCTCACCTCCATCTCTGCTTGTGCCCATGTGACAGATGGGGAGACCAAGTCTCCTTACAACACGGAGGCAAAGAGCAGGGTCCCCATACCATAGGTGATAAAAGACTGGCGCTCAATGTATACCTGCCTACAAGTGGGTAGAACCTTTTTGTCCTGTGTCATCTCTGTTCTCTAGGGAATTGGGGCTGCCCATGTGGGCCTGAGCCAGCTTGGTAGCTGGTGGCTAAATCACCTTCACACTTTGCTATGAATTTTAATCACTACAACTGCCACCACGGGGATAACTAACAATGTGTCTGGGCACTGTGAACAGTATAACAAACAAGACGCAGAAAAATCCAGCCCACCAGGAACTGGCACAAGTGAAAGGCAGTCAGTGACACTGACATCCAGCCCTTCTAACAGAGTATGTGTTGCCACGGTGAAAACACATCTGGGAGATCAAGTGAAGGGTGGGGGTTGCCACCAGGCCAGGGTGGGACAAGAAATTGTGAGGGGAATTGTAAGGTGGGAGGGAGAAAACAGGAAATGGGAAAGGGGGTGGGGCAGGCTGTGCAGGGTTTTTTCTGAGTGTGGTGCGGGCAGGGTGCAGCAGGGCCAGGTTGTGGTATGTGGTGTTCGTGGCATCATCTAGCTTTGTGGGAGGGCGAGGGGCGCTAGCCAGGAGGTGACCACACAGGCAGGCCAGGTGAGATGCAAAATAAAACGGACTACAGGGTGATCCCTAGTATTTGGAGGGGCAGTGTTCTCCTGAAGTGAGACGCACAGGGTCCCAGCCAGGGAGAACGGGGACGGAGGATCAAGAGCTCATCTGGGGCGGCTGCGTTTGGCATTCCATGAGACAGATGTCTCCTGACCCCTGAGCCAAACCCCTCTCTTTGAGAAAAGCAACGCTCTTGGGAAAGTAAATGATTTGCTCAGGATGACAGGACTAGTGAGTGCGGAGAATGGTAAAAGTTCAGATTTAAATCTCTCCAATTTTTTCATAAGCTCGGCCCAACCCACCTGGATATAACGGCTACACTTAAAGACAACCACGACCGAGGCCGTGCACCTTGATTCGGTGTGCGTCGCCCCCAGTGTCTGCTGGCGCCCGGTCGCATCGCATCCTCACAAATTTGGAACAGGCGTCAAAACTAGAAATTCCTGGGGAAAAGGCTCGGGGCGAAGAAATCCTGCTCACCCCCCAACCCGATTTGCTTTCGGCGCTGCCTTCTGGCGAAGCTGGATTTTCAACCTCAAGGCCTCGAAGGCGCGCCCAACACTGCTCAAGGTTCCTGTATTTGCCGCACAAAGGAGGAAACTGAAGCTCGGCGGACCGGAGCTCCTGGCTGTCCTCCACCGGCCCGCCAGTCCCGCGCCCCGCTCACCTTCTTGATCTTCCGCTGCTGCACGATGCGCGCTTTCTTGGGGGCGATCACTCGACCTGGAGGGACGCACTCACATGAGGGTGAGGAGGCCCGGGCCCATGTCTATCCCGCGCACTCCCCGGCCCGCTCCTCACCGCCTTTTCTCGGCCCACGGTTTCGTTCCGAGGCTGCCGCCGCGGCCTTGCTCTTAGCCGGCTTTTGCGCCTGGAACTTGCGCTGGCCCTGCGCCATGACGAGACGCGCGCCGGAAGGGGCGGAGCTGCGAGCGGCCGGAAGGCGCAGGGCGCGATGGGATGCAGAGGGACGGCGGGCGTAGAGACTCGCGGGTTACACCGTGGTACTTAAAGGGCCAGCCCCCCACTAACGTAGTAGAAATTGCAACCATCTCCAGTGAGAAGTAATACTGTTAATATTTATAGGGTGCTTATGTTTTATAACATTTACTATTTTATGGTATTTATACAAAAAGCTTAGAACTCACTGTTAGTGGGAAATTGAAAGATACCATCTATCTATCTAATCTTTTTTTTTTTTTTTTTTTGAGGAGCCGAGGGTTGAACTCAGGCCCTTGCACTTATCAGGTAAGCACATATTCAACTGAGCTATCTCCCCGGCGTCGGCTTTGGCAGAGCGCAGCAGCCCGGGTTAAATCCTTGGCCCTGCCAGCCCGCGGAGCGTGCTGAGATAGTGATTGAGACTGGGTGTGGTGGCGTGCGCCTGTAATCCCTGCACTTTGAGGCTGAAAACAGAATCATTATGAGCCTGATCTACGTAGTGAGACCCTGTCCTAAATACAGGAAAAAAATTATATATACACATATGTGATGGTGAAAGGAAAATAGAACTAAGATATGTACACATACCAGCTCTCCATAGTGAATGTAATCATGTACTGTAAACTGGTATTAATAAAAATTAAAGGGGCTGGTGAGATGGCTCAGTGGTCTAAAGCACCTACTTAGAACAAGCTTAGTAAAGCACAGGGACCGCGGTTCAATCCCCCCAGCACCACATGCCAGCCAGCCCCGCCCCCTGGTGGGCTGAGGGGGGGTACACACACACACACACACACACACACACACACACAAATAAAATAAAAATTAAAGGGCCGGGGAGATGGCTCTGGAATAAGTGCTTCCCTGGCAAGCACAACGGCCTGAGTTCAATCCCTGGTTCCACAAAAAAAAAAAAGGGGGGGGGGCGAAGAGATGGCTCAATAGAATAAGCACTTGCCTGGTAAGTGCAAGGGCCTGGGTTCAATCCCTGCTTCCACCAAAAAAAAAATTTTTTTTTGAAAGGCTCCCATGTATGCTAAGAGACCATTTCACATTCAATTAGAGGAGGAACAGAAGCAAGAGCAGGAGGGGAAGAAAGGAAGAAGGAAATGAGAAGTGAAGAAAAACTGTACCCTGTAGGCAGGTTGCCTGGTTTTATAAAGATTTATTGGAACTAGAGGTGGGAGCAGGTATGAAAGCCTCAGATTTCAAGTGAAAGGTATAGTTCTGTTTAAAAATCTTGATTTCTTTTGGGCTGGCGAGATAGCTCAGTGGTCTAAAGCGCCTGCTTAGGCAAGCTTAAGCAAACATGTAGGGACCTTGGTTCGATCCCCAGTACCACATGCCATGCCAGCCCTGCCCCCAAGGTGGGCTGAGCTGATCATAAAAAATAAAAATCTTGATTTTTTTTTTTTGTGGAACCGGGGATTGAACTCAGGCCCTTGCGCTTGCCAGGGAAATGCTTATTCCACTAAGCCATCTCCCTGGCCCAAAAATCTTGATTTTTTTCATGACTTGGCATCTATTTTTTAAAAAGATTTATTTGGTATAGGGTCTTGCTACACAACTCAGACCCATAGTGATCCTCTTATCTCAGCCTCCCCAGCGCTGGGATCATAGGTACGTGCCACCATGCCTAGTTTCAGTGGCTAGCATGGCTCAAGGCCAGCATGGCATGCGGTACTAGGGATCGAACCCAGGTTCTTGCACTTTCCAGGCAGGTACTTAGACCACCAAGCTATCTCCACAGCCCTTGGCATCTTTTTAAAAGGTAAACTACCTGTGGTGATACGCTATTGAGCCTGACTTTGTCTCAAAATAAACAGAACACAAAAACACTGCATTAAAATATTATCTTTATTTTTCAGACAGGGTTCACTATGTAGTCCACAATACCTTTGAAATCACTAGGTAGACCAGGCTGGCTTTGGCCAGTGACACACCTCCCTCAGCCTCCTGAATGCTAGGATTACAAATGAGTGCCACATCTTGCTTTATCCCCATTTTATCCATGAGGAAACTAAGGC